CCTGAGGTGTTCATTTCTCTTCGCTACCTACCCATTTATTCTGAATGTTGAATCTTTTTTTTTTTTTCCTTTTTGTCTTTTTGTCGTGACCGGCAACGGATCGCAACCCTCAGTGTCGCGCCCGTACCGGACCGGGACAGGCAACAGGATCGCAACCCTCGGTGTTGCGCCCGCACCTCGCTCAGCCAGTGAGCGGCCGGTCTGTATGTGGGATCCGAACCCTCGGTGGGAGCGCCACGCGGCGCACTGTAGCAGTGCGCCACCGGGCCGGCCCATAAGTTCTAAACATGTGATACAAGTGAGTTCTTTTTCCTAAAACACCAAGAGAATCACGGTGCCTAATGTCATCCTCTTAAAATCTTATTTAGTTGTTCTACAAATACTGTATCCATTGGCTCTGTTGTCCCTTTACAAATTGTAAGGTCAACCTCAGGAAAGAGTCACAAAAAGTAAGAATAACCAACAGTTACGGGTTTGCACAAACACCTGCGGGCCTGGGAGGAAACGACATATAGAAGAGAACTTGTCGATTCCAAATCACTGATTCTGTGCATTTGGTTGCTCAGACCTGGAGGCAAGGAAAGGCCCCGCCAGCAGGCCCAGAGTATTGGCCTTCATCTTCTGGGTGATGGCCTTTTTTTTTTAATCATCAAATCCAGCTGTGGCTTGACTAACATCTAAGTGCATTTACCTCTGGTAATTTACAACAGTAAACTGATTTAGGGTTTTAATTTTAGAAGAGAAATAAAAAATAGTTTTAAATAATCCTAAACTAGCTATCTTTGAGAAGACGATAGATTATGATTTTACAAAGAGCAAATCCCGAAAAATGTATGCAAGATTCATTACTGGCCTACAGTATTTAGAGAACTTAAATGCACCCATCATTTGGCTGAATTGGGTCTGACAAGTGGAGTAGGGAGTGTAATGGATCTAATCCCTACCCTATTTGGAATACCCATCCTTCTGGAGTTTTCCAGAACACTCACAGATACTAGGGGCAGAGCCCAGGGTAGGATTTTGTCTACATGATGGACAAAGTATGAACTTCGCTCACCATAGCACAAGATGTACCCCAATAAGATCGTCCGACATCAAAGTATTTCTAAAGGAGAGCACATTGGCACCAGCTGAAGTATAAAATTTCAGGCTAGGCTTGAGGAACCCAGTGTTTCTGATGTTCTTATTCAAACAATTACTTTGGGTTCAATTAGTTCTTCCTACATTCTTAAAACTTGGTCTTGAATCTGGGTGAGCGTGGACCTGCAAAAGCACAGCTTTTACGTATTCAGGACACACACTCATTACAGGTCTCAGTAAAAACTACGAGCATTCCCACACTTTTAGATTTACTTCATAGAAAGGTCATTTACTTTGCTCATCTTCCACAATCATGCCCCAAAAACCTGTTTCCAAGTCTATCAACTCCCAGCAAACCTGAAGGGGTTGGACGCCTTGGAAGATGTGAAATTGTTAGGAGGCAGGGGTGAGTGGCCACTCATGTCCACCGAGGCTCCCTGGCAGGAGCTTCTCTTGGAAACTGGGCACCTTTTAGCCCTGGGATCAGCCTTCGCGGTTGGAGGAGACAGGAGCAGGTCGTGGAGCTGGGCAGACATCTCCAGCTAGCTTTGGCGAGCTCATCCATAATGACAGGTCCAGGTCATCAATTCTGCACAGTAGTCTCCATGGCTCAGGAACCCATGGGGGTGAGAGCCCCCCTTTAATGACCAGGTACAAGCGCGTGTACATGCACCCTCTCATTACCTCCTGACTCGTCCCCACACAGAGTCCAGCATCCTACACCAGATACATTTCACACGTCCTCCCTGAGTCTTAATGCAGAATACAAACAAGTGACGTGCTCCAGTCAACCTGTTGCTTCATCCATCCCACAAATACACCTACTATGTGCCAAGCACTGTTAATAACGTCAGCGGGCAAAACAGATCAAAATCCCTGCCCTGCCAAAGCGGACGCTGTCAGTGCAGTAAATACTCAATGGCCACCCCCCCCCCCCCCCCCCCCCCAATTCCCAAAAAAGGGGGGTTTTTTTTTTTTTTTTTT